AGAATTTATGGATAGAAATTTCATTTTTCAACATATATTGACAAATAAATATATATATATATATTGGAAAAAACACTTTTAAAATTTCATTGCCATACCTTGAAAATGAGTTGCGCCATCTATGTCCCTTAAATCCCATTCAAACGCCAAAAATGTCTTTTTCGATGGGTTCAAAAATGAGTTGCGCCATCTATGTCCCTTAAATCTCATTCAAACGCCAGAAAAAAATCGGGGGGTTAAAAAATGAGTTACGCCATCTATGTCCCTTAAATCGCATTCAAATCTTTCAAACTTTCATTGTAATACCTTGAAAATGAACCACTGAATGTTTTAAAACTGATTGTGGACAGAATTTATGGATAGAAATCTCATTTTTCAACATATTTTGACAAAAATCTTTTTAAAAAATGCTATATAAAATTCATTGCAATACCTTGAAAATGATCCACTGAATGTTCTAACATTGGTTGTAGACAGAATTTTGGATAGAAATATTTTTTTTAATATCAAATTATTCAGCACATATGCACAATTTTAACATTTCTGGTTTACAGACTATAAAAGTATCATTTTTCATTTTGCTCTTTGTTTTTGTTCCCCCCTTTCTCTCTCCCCTTGGTCTCCCCGTTGTCTCCCCGTTGTGTCTCCCCAGGGCGGTGATCCCAATGCAACGAGTCGGGGTGAGCGTTTTGCGCCAACGCGCGCGCGCGTTGGTGGAAAACGAAAGCGAGCAGCGTTTTCAACTCAGGAAAAAGCTCTTTTTCGGGGGACTTGGTGGGCCCGTTTTCCGGGGCCAAGCAAAGTGGCAAATTGCCAGAGCGTAGAAGATTGCAAAAAATTGATCATTTTTAGGGACATAGATGGCGCAACTCCCACTCATTCGCCAAAATCAGGCTGGGAATGCCCACATTGATGGCGCAACTCCCTCATATCTCCCGACATCCATCAACCAACCTAACCAACATATGCCACATCGATCAGAGTTATCGCAAGACAGAAGGCACAACCACCAGGAAACACATCAGAGTTGTCCCAGGACAGGAGGCAAAACCACCAGGAAAGACATCAGAGTTGTCCTTTTTGGGACATAGATGGCGCAACTTCCGTCATTTTGCCAGCAAAGGTCGAGACGCTTTAAAACCAAATTTTCACAAGTGACCTGAGGAACCGTTTCTTGACGGCAAAAACGGTTCCTCAGGTCACTTGTTAAAATTGGGTTTTAAAGCGTCTCGTCTCGACCTTTGCTGGCTCAAAACAACTTCCGCCATTTCGCCAAAATCAGGCTGGGAATGCCCACATAGATGGCGCAACTCCGGGAGTTGCGCCATCTATGTCCCAAAAAAGCAGCTTGATGTTGATAAAAAAAAATGGGGAGAAATCAGCGCAGAAGATTGCAAAAAAATATGTCATTTTTAGGGACATAGATGGCTGAACTGCCCTGTTTAAAGGGAGTTGAGCCATCTATCCCCCATTTCTTTTTTTTTGACATAGATGGCGCAACTCAAGATTCTGAGCCATCTACTTTTAAGTCAGAGTAGGTTGAAGATCGCCCTGGACCAAGGGGGAGGGGGGAGGGGGGGGCAGGATTTCTTTTAGATGTACCAACTATGCATTTCGACCAGCTGCAAGTAACTTGAAATCTTGAGTCACATATATGCATAACCATGCAAAACTTAGCATGTCTCTCTACCATGTTTTTGGGCTATCTCTTTAGGCACTGGTTTGCAATTTTTGTCCCTAACTTTTGCCTCTTTGGGGAATTTTTGTCCCTAACTTTTGGGAGTTTTTGTCCCTAACTTTTGGGATTGTTTGTCCCTAACTTTTGCCTCTTTGGTGTTTTTTTGTCCCTAACTGTTGGGAATTTGTGTCCCTAACTTTTGCCTCTTTGGTGAATTTTTGTCCCCAACTTTTGCCAAACTTAGGGACAAAAAACAACAAACTTAGGCCAAACTTAGGGACAGTTATTACCCAAACTTAGGGACAATAATTACCAAACTTAGGCCAAACTTAGGGACAATAATTCCCCAAACTTGGGGACAATAATTCCCAAACCTAGGGACAATGGTTACCCAAACTTGGACAAAATAGCTCTAAAGAAAACGTGGTAGAGCGCCATGCTAATGCATAACCATTTACAACTGGTAAAGGGTTGCAACTTTAGGCTAAAGTCAATAGATGGTCATTCCCATTGTGGTCCCAGTAAACCCTCAATTATATTTGTATTATTCCAAGCTCGTATTAGGTACCTGACAATAGGATATTCCAAAATCTGCTGACTTATCATGATGTATCACACTATTTCCCATGATGCGAAAGTGTCAGTATGTGGACATCGAATGTCTGGACAGTGACCCGGGACCCGCGTGACGTTTCTCAAATTCCAAACCACCAGCCCACATCTGTGATTCGACCTATCAGCACCTTCACAACACTTCAGATGCGTTGATTTCCTGCAATCTCATCCGATCCGACTAGCAGATCGCATGGATCGCAAAGCGCTCCCGCAACATTTGTTTTCGGCATTAGGTTTTGGCTGGAACTTTTGGTGAAGACCCCGACTGGGGGGTAACTGGACAAGTTAAATCCATCCCCATCTAACATATAGTAGAAGTACATAGAATCACACTTAGCCTTCAAAGCGTAAATCATTAAACTCTGAAGGAGTTTGATAATGTTGAAGTTTTTGATTTACAAACTGTAACGGAGCGGGCTAGTCAGACTCTAAAACGCGCGCGCTCCGCGCGCCATCGGGCTAAATAACGCGCGCTCTGCGCGCTATTTGCTTGATACTATAGTTCGCTCTGTAACACGCGCGCTCCGCGCGCTGTCGGCGTCATGCTAGCGCGTAGCCATCCAAACGTAAATCATTAAGCTCTGATGGAGTTTGATAATGTTGAATTTTATTTTGATTCACAAACTGTATAGCTCGTTAGACTCTAAAACGCGCGCTACGCGCGCTCGCAAACGCGCGCTTTGCGCGCTCGAAAACAGCACGTTACGATCGGTTACGCTCTTTCGGCATGTCATCGTGAAACCCATGTTTCAGCTGTAAATCATGTAGATAAAAGTCGCTACACCTTGTCAAACCTGGATGTGGGGTCGTGCCTTCAGATTCGCATGGGTGTCTGTGTGTGTGCGTGTTTGCCATGCAAACAAGATTGTTGTGAATCGGAGGGCCTTGGGGCCCAAGGAGGGGCTGGAAATTGACCAATAACTCAATGTGACAAGTGCCAGATGTAAACATTGCCAAGATTCTAAAAAGCAACAATTTTTCATTTTTGGGGTTACTCTCGTTGGAACACAAATAATGCCAAGGGATTAAGATTTTCAGCCAATGGCTGATGCTGTCTTACTAACCTTGGGCAACTTAGTCACTGATAAAAGAAGAAAGATTGAAGCTGGATCTGCAAGAAGCTCTTGTCAGTCTTTTGTTTTTTCCCGGTGCGAAAGGCAGCTATCTGGAAAATGCAGTGACCACTTTAACCTAACTCTTGACCTGAAGTTCTCGCAACACTGCTTTAGCAATCATACATGAAGAAACCGCTTTTGGGAGCAAAGGGGCTTCGACCAGAAATTCGGTGGCCCTTGGGGTCGCTGACACTGACACTGCTAGCATGGTTCATTTTACCATGTTGAGTACACGGCTCCGCGCGGCGAGGGAATTAATGTTTGGGCAAGAACCTCTGCAAGTTTTGGCGTGTTTTAAAAATTAAATACCACCCATATATTTTTGTGCAGAATACCAGTCGAACCAGCCCAAGGTTTCACCAAAAGTCGCCGAACAAGAAATTTTCAGGACCGAAAGTTGTTAGCCTGGCCCACGAGGCTGCTTTCCCAACCAAAACCCTGCCAGAAAAGAAACAACCAGAAGCAGGGCCAGTGGCCCCAAGGGACGCCGAGCCACCACCGACCACTATACTATACATGAATGCTGAATGCATCTCAAAGTCGTCCTGCAAGAAACGAAGCAACACAACATTTGCTACGCACTACGCAAATGGTCTTCTTTGTGTCGGGCACAAAAAGTTCAAGGATATCATTTCTAGACTCTGCTCACCAAAAAAATACAGAAAATTTCGTATGTGAAAAACAGACTGCAGCCGGCCATGTTTTCAAACCAGTGGTAAAACGCCCAAAATATTGGTATCACCTGTCAAAAAAACATAAACATGAGATGGCATGACTCAAGAACACAGCGAAACACGCGCCCTTTTGTTCCATTGATTTCTTATTGTGCTTCTTCCCGCCTTTCTTCTTCTTCTTCTTCTTCTTCTTCTTCTTGTGGCGCCACTCTCTTTCGTATTTCCGTTTGGAACTGAAAGAGGCGAACATTTGTTCACCACTCATGTACACATGTCTTTCACGTTCCCGCTTGTGGGGCTGCTCAGACTCCAAGTCTTCCGCGCATCCTTGACATCCAAACTGGGCATCATTATCATCTGATCCTGATTCTGTTTCAGATTTGGCATGGCAGCAAGCAGAAGAGGTGGTGTGCCACGCAATTTGATCACCACCACATTCATGTTGAATGGACGGAGAAGCTGAAAAGGATGCCTCCGTCCCTGGCCCTTCAACACCTGCATCTGGATGCTGGCAGGTGGCGGCTAAAGAGGAACTTGTAGATGGGGTAGCTCGCGGTGCCACCAAAACATTAAATGCATGGCCAATGGGAGATTTTCGCCACCGACCCTTCACATGGCTCTCGAAGCAGCCCATCTTCTCCTTGGAGTTGTCTGCCATCAGTCTGCTGGGTCAGTCAACATGGACGGCGGGTTTCAACGGAGCTATCATTGCGATTGATTTGTGTGTCTGTGTGTGTGAAAGGTTTCAACTCCGACCAACTACGGATTCTGACTTGAGAACAGCTACCTTTTGCATCACTCTATGCCTGACTTGCTCATTTGATTCTGAATTCCAGCCACTATGCAGCTCACAAGAAAACCAAAAAAACTTATGGTTTCAATGGTGAACTTCAACCTTGTAAGTAAGTCAAAACAGATCTATGGGTGCCAGGTGTTCCAAACTTGCTTTTCTGGCTGCGATGCAGCAAGGAAAAAAATCACAGGGCAATGCGCCACTGCACAATGAATGTTGTAACTCTCCGCACCACCATCTCTAAGTCTGGACAAGTCGACATCCCTTTGGGTGTCGTCAAAAAATGACTCCTCAGGAGCAGCAGCAGCAGCAGCAGCAGCAGCGCCCGCTTCTATGACCTCATCATCTACCTTCTCCGGCTCCTCTTCTCCGCCCTCCTCCAACTCATCCTCGGCCTTCTCGGCTTCCTCGGCTTTCTCAGGCTCCTCAGGTACCTTCAGCTGCTCAGACTCCGTAAGCTTCTTGACAGAGCCAGCTTTTCCCTCTGGGCCTGCATCTGCCCCACGGTGCTTTGCAACAACGGCCTTCTCCCGCGAGACATTGATCATCTCGGCCTTGGATGCGCAAAGTGCACACGTCTGCTAAATCCAACTATCTGACTGCAGCAGACATAAATGAGGCGCCCCACCCCACGGCGCATTCAAACAAGTCAAGGCACTCCCATGGCCCTCACATCAGCCAGCTTCACCCCTTGCTTCAGCTTTTGGAGCAAGGTGTCCTGGGCTGAATGCACAGCTGCTATTTTCAACCAAGTTGCCAAGGTGTCAAGACATTCCTGTCCAAGGCAACCAAGACACAGCCACTTTCTGGGAATCCTCCTTCTTAACCAAAGAACTGCCAACCTTATTGTTGGCACATATTGGCATTGAAAAAAAGAAAATCAGGGGGGCAAGCGAGAATCTTGCAGGCAGAGCATACCAAATGACATGGGAAGCGGATGATTTGCGGACAAGCAACCGACATGATGTACCCATGGCTGCTCTTCAATTGCCAGTTGTTGCAAGCTTTATGCCAGGAAGGGTTGTGGTAGGTAACGTCAGAAGGCTTGCCAGCCTTCTTCTGATGGTCCTTCGTGTGGGCCTTCTTCTTGGCATCCCCCCTGCCTGTGAACGAAGGTTTCTGGAGTGCAGAAGGCCTCTTCATCACACCAGGCGTCTCGTCCACCTCGTCCTGGTCATCTTCATCATTTTTTCGTGCGCTGTTGCAGGAGCTGCAACACCACTATTCTTCAAGACTGCACCCATCCCTTTTTTGTCCTCACCGACTGTGCGCGCTGCAGAACTAGGCCTCTTCATCGGAACAGGCACACTCTCCGATGCACCTGCAGCATTCTTCCTTTTATTTTTGGGTGCTGGCTGTGCTGGCTTCACCGTTTCCGGGATAGGTTCCTCCAGGGGGTTCAAACATGCAACGCTGGGAACACTGGACAGTAACATGTTTTCAAACCTGTAACCTGCAAAAACCTGTCCTGAGAGGATTCACTCAAAGCGTCCACCGAAGTGAGAACACGCATGGCTGAAACTCCGGAAATTCAAACAAGTGGGCGCTGGACTTCGCATGACGAACAAATCAAGGGCAGTCATGCAAACGGGAACCCCTTATTCCGAGTCAGTGTAGACATGATGCGCTAAGATCAGATGCATGATACTTATGTACAACTACTCTTTTTGAGGGGGGGTGGTAATACATTAAAATTACTGTATAAGGGCTAATTATTGTTAAATGATAGGGTTTCGCGCTTCATCCCAGAGCAGCAAAAGGGCGCAAACATGGGTTTCAATCCAGCGTGTCCTTATTCCAAGAGTCGGGCCCCGAACTTCAGGCCCTGAACGGGGTGCCCCCAGGCAACTTTGTAGCAAAGGCATGTACGTAGAAGCACATGTATGTGAACCCTGATGATGTAATCAAATGTTTTTTTGGCATACCTGTGCCACAAGAGTCGGGCCCCGAACTTCGGGCCCCGAACTTCGGGCCCCGAACAGAGTGCCCCCAGGCAACTTTGTAGCAAAGGCATGTAGACGCACATGTATGTGAACGATGATGATGTAATCAAATGCATTTTGGCATACCTGTGCCACACGAGTCGGGCCCCGAACTTCGGGCCCGAATGGGGTGCCCCCCAAGCAACTTTGTAGCAAAGGCATGTAGAAGCACATGTATGTGAACTCTGATGATGTACTCAAATGTTTTTTGGCATACCCGTGCCACAAGAGTCAGGCCCCAGGCAACTTGTAGCAAAGACATGTGGAAGACTACGTATGTGAGCTTTGATGTGCTTCTCATTCTCTGGTCTTCGTTAGACCCATGTCTCAAGAGTCGAGCCCCGGATTTGGTAGTAAGTGAACTAGTTTGGTGTCTTTATTGTGAGGTGTTATGTATATCTAAATTGTACTACTATTTGAGGTTTGTCAGGCCTTGGCTGAACAGTGTTAATTTGCTCATTCCTTAGATGTGATCCAAATATTGTGATAGTAGGCATATACATATATATATATATATATATATTTACATTTACATTTACCAAAGACATACAAGTGAACCCTGCAGGGGGTGACCCCTCATTGTGATACACCCCTCTTTGTGATATGTAAACCTGCATGTATCATCGTTTTGCCCGATTCAAATTCATCATGCTGACTCTCATTTCAGATGCCTTTGAGCATATCACTCAGGCATGAAGATGCCAGAGCAAACAAACGTTATCGTTTGAGCGAAGATCAATTCAAGAAGATTGCTTTGTATGATGGCCTGGTCCAGGATGATGATATATTTCCAATGTTTCGGCGGGTGCGACAATGTCCTTCTATGGTGTCTCCCACAGGGATCATCTTTGAATGCTAAATGATTACATTTAGGTATGGATTAGCTCTGCCTTGGCTAAATCCAGTGGGAAATATGGCGAGGCAACCTGTCCTGACCTGCTGAAAAAAAGGCCTGCCTTGCTTAAATCCACTGGATTTAAACGAGGCGAACTTCCCCCCCCGAATTCCAGACTTTGAGGCGAAAAGTTCCAGGATGATCCCTGTGGGAGACACCATAGAAGGATATTTTGCATTCAAGGGTGGTCCCTGTGGGAGACACCATAGAAGGACATTGTCAATTGATTTAGGATTCTATCATAATCCCTGTTGGAGCAAGCCATTGTCAGTTGATTTACTTCAATTCAAGGGTGATTCTCGTAGGAGAAAGCCATTGTCATTCCTACAGGTACTGACGTCCCGGGCGCTTTTGAGCTCACCTATCAGAAGGGACACCAAAGGGGGCTGTGCCTTGCACGCCCTTCACTGCTTTCTGATATGGCAATCAGGATCCGGGCCAAGTACCAAACCCGAGGGAAGGCGGAAGCAATGTGGCTAGGGTTGAAAGAAGCTGCATCATCATGCATCTCTGAATTCAGATCACTTCCCCGCTTTCTTGACGACTTGGATCTTCTTTCTTCTCTGACACTCTCTCTTCTGACTGCAGGATGAGACTTTGAATGGTGAAGAGCTGATTCCCACTTCCGTCTGCAAGATTGACAGTAGATTCTTGTTGCTTCCAGAGCACAGAGCCCGAGACGGAGCGGGAGGCTTGAGGGAAGAGGAGCAATGGTACCCGGCAACCCGGCGACCCGGCGACCCGGCAACCCGGCAACCTAGAAAACGAGGAGAAAGAATAGAGTAGAGGAGGGAGGGAGAGAGAGAGAGAGAGAGAGAGAGCAGAGAGCAGAGAGCAGAGAGGATAGAGTAACACAGAGAAACAAAAGAGGCTGAGAGGAAAGAAATGGAATGAAATGGAAAGAGAAAAGGGATTAAAAAGACATATATTAAGTAACAGGCAGATAGAATATTCAAAATTTCATTGATTTGAAAATAACACATAGAATAATGCAAAATTTATAGCTGGGTAAATTTTACACATAGAATTATCCAAGACCTAAAATATACAATTTTAGGGAAATCAACTTTAAAAGCATCATTTTTCCTGTGTTTTACCAGCGTTTTCAACATATAGAATAATAACCTATTTTCCAGACCCCGTCGACCCCTCATCTCCTCAATTCCCAAAGCAGCAGTCAACATTGCTGGCACACTACAACAACTCAACTTTGAATTTTTCCATCCACTCCATATGGAACTCATGTACAGACATACTAAACAAATAATACATTCACTCATAATTGATTGGCTGGCTAATATACCACTTATTGCAATCAAAATAGTACAAAAGATTGGCTGGAGCCATCAAAGCTGGCACCCCATGTAGCTGGAACATTATATCTGTTGATTTTGAATCATTTTGCAAATTAAAACATACAGCAAAATGTGGTCGATTTACGTTCTATCCGAAAAACCACCGCAAACCAACCTCAACATGAAACATGCACGCACGCGCACACACACACGCACACACTTGACCATCAAACACAGTGCATCGAATGGTCAGTTGCAATACTTTCGACACACATTGACACCCACAGACGGACGATGCTCTACACAAACACAGCCTTTGCCCCTGACAAATGCATATAGTGCTATGGAAACAGACGATGTGAACAGAAACAACTGCAACATACTATGTGTTTCTCCTTCGGTTGGCGTGAATGTATGTTTTATCCATGCTTGGTTCAAACAATAATGTTCGGAAATGTCTACCCCATGTGGACACCAACAGACAGAATAGTCCCAAGTCAATCAAAAGATAGACTAATACAGAAACTATGATAAATGATAACTTTGGAAAAAAACGAATCAAATCTAAGTTTCCAGAAAATCAATTGCACGTTTGGAAACAAATTCATTCACTCATAATTTATTGACTGGCTTGTATGCCGCTTCTTTCAATCAAAACGGTACAAAAGATTGGCTGGAGCCAGCAAAGCTGGCACTCCATGTAGCTGGAATATTCTACCTGTTGATTTAAATCATTTTGCATATTAAAACATACAGCAAAATGTGGTTGATTAACGTCCTAGTTGTCAAACAATTTGAAAAACTCTCGCAAAACGCAAAACCAACATGAAACATGCACACAGACACACACACCTAACCCTTGCTAACCATGCCTCATCAGACATAGTGCATCGAATGTTCAGTTGCAATGCTTTCGACACCCATCGACAACCACAGACGGACGATGCTCTACACAAACACAACCTTTGCCCCTGACAAATGCATATATTGCTATGGAAACACACGATGTGAACAGAAACAACTGCAACTTACTATGTGTTTCTCCTTCGGTTGGCGTGAATGTATGTTTTATCCATGCTTGGTTCAAACAATAATGTTCGGAAATATGTCTACCCCATGTGGACACCAACAGACAGAATAGTCCCAAGTCAATCAAAAGATAGACTAATACAGAAACTATGATAAATGATAACTTTGGAAAAAAAAAACGAATCAAATCTAAGTTTCCAGAAAATCATTTGCACGTTTGGAGACAAATTCATTCACTCATAATTTATTGACTGGCTTGTATGCCACTTCTTTCAATCAAAACGGTACAAACGATTGGCTGGAGCCAGCAAAGCTGGCACTCCATGTAGCTGGAATATTCTATCTGTTCATTTAAATCATTTTGCATATTAAAACATACAGCAAAATGTGGTTGATTAACGTCCTAGTTGTCAAACAATTTGAAAAACTCTCGCAAAACGCAAAACCAACATGAAACATGCACACACGCACACACCTAACCCTTGCTAACCTTGACTCATCAGACGTAGTCAATCGAATGTTAAGTTGCAATGCTTTCGACACCCATCGACACCAACAGACGGACGATGCTCTACACAAACACAACCTTTGCCCCTGACAAATGCATATAGTGCTATGGAAACAGACGATGTGAACAGAAACAACTGCAACTTACTATGTGTTTCTCCTTCGGTTGGCGTGAATGTATGTTTTATCCATGCTTGGTTCAAACAATAATGTTCGGAAATATGTCTACCCCATGTGGACACCAACAGATAGAACAGTCCAAAGTCAATCAAACGATAGATTAATACAGAAACTATGAAAAATGATAAATTCGGAGAAAAAACGAATCAAATCAAATTTATTTTTTTCCAGAAAATCATCTGCACGTTGGAAACAAATTCATTCACTCATGATTTATTGAATGGCTTGTATGCCACTCATTGCAATCAAAACGGT